TAATGCTGTTTTTTACTTCAAAGACATTTATATATTTATATATTTTAGAAGAACATTTTTTGATTTTTTTGTGAAAATTTAGATATTGTATATGGTTAATATTAAAGTCTGCATCCATCAAATACAGAAATCTGTGCTTATTTTGTGCGTATTTTGTATGTATTTTTATCATATTTTGTGATATTGAGGGTAGTGAGGTTTAAAAATCAAAAATTCAAATAAAAAAGTTCAACTTTTATTTTTAAACTGTGGTATTGGTAAAGTTGAATACCACAGTTTGAAAATAAAAGTTTAAATTTTATATTATCATTTTGGATTCACCGACAAAGGGTCAAAGGACCCAGGGTCAAACGACACAGGGTCAAACGACACAGGGTCAAACGACAAGGGGTCAAAAACGCGACAAAGGGTCAAACGACTTCAAAAAAGTTTGGCGGATTTTTGTGATTAAAATTGCGAGTTTCCTATGATTCAAATCAAAAAATATTTTTATCATTTTGACCTTTTGTCGTTTGACCCTTTGTCACACTTTTGACCCTTTGTCGTTTGACCCTGTGTCGTTTCACCCTGTGTCGTTTGACCCTTTGTCGTTTGACCCTGGGTCGTTTGACCCTTTGTCGGTGAATTTCATTTTGGATTTTCAAATCTCACTACCGCCAATACCACAGTTTGAAAATAAAAGTTTAAATTTTATATTCTCATTTTGGATTTTGAAATCTCACTACCGCCACTACCACAGTTTGAAAATAAAAGTTTAAATTTTATATTCTCATTTTGGATTTTCAAATCTCACTACCGCCAATACCACAGCTTGAAAACAAAAGATTAAATTTTATATTCTCATTTTGGAATTTCAAATTTAAATACCGGCAAAACTTCAAGTTTAAAAGTATTTACATTTTCTAATTTCGATAAAAAGGCATATAATAATCTGAAAAGTCTCAAAAAAATGTACAAAAACTAGCTCTCAAAGCCTTCAATACCATTTTCTTTTAATTTGTACATAAAGTTTTCGCTCAAAAAAAAAGGCATTTTATACAAACACAACTGATCCAAATTCATGCGAAAGTCTCAAAGATGGCCTAAGATCAGATCACCACCCTTTATACACTGGTTGAACTCCAATCATGGGAGGATTGTAATCCTCCCACCAGAAGATCATGAACTTGTTGTGAGTCATGGAGGAATGTTCTCTCTTGGTTCAAGTATAATATGCTGGGCAGGGTCTTTAACATGGACGAAATCCTTAGAGATGTGCAAACTAGAGGAACAGAATTGTCAAACGATCTTAACGATCTTGGGATTTGTCTCAAGGGAGTTCTTTATGATCAAGGAGTTTATTCTGATTAGCCTCGCAATTGAGTATTGTGCCCTAACTATAACTGTAGTGTAGCCCTCCTGATGTTTGGCCTGAAACCCTCTATCGCTGCTCTCATCAATAGGATCACATTAGACTGGGGCCGACTCCTGAGCAGGATGAAACCTGCAACTGAAGTAATGAGGATGGGAGCACTGTTAGCTAATGAGGATGCTGTATGATTGAAAATGAGGGATGGCTAGCCCTATTGTTCAAGCACTCTCTTCCTCCCCCACTTTTTAATGAATATCTTGTAACCCTATATTTTTAAACCTGAACTACGTTGTACACTATTTGTTATCTATGTTTGTAAATAGCTACGTAAAACTAAATCATGATTTATCTTAACTGTGCTTAAAATAACTATGTAATATGATTATCTTAACTAGGGTGTATTAAACTACATAAAACCTGCAGCCTAATTACGTCTGTATATAACTACGTGAATCTTGTAATTAAGTTGATTAACTTAACTTGTAACATAGAACCCAAAATACATTCAGTTGGAATAATACCTGCTTTGATTACACTGTGAGAGTAATTCTTCTTGGTTAGCAAACAAGAAGCATCCTGAATCACTTTCTTGAAAGATAGATTGGGAATTATGCCGAGAATACAGACTGAGTCGTATATGGATTGATATTGATTATGGTATTCATGTGAACCTTGAGTTCCTGTTTAAATTGTATCTTGTAAGAGACAGATACCTGAGAATACAGACTGAGCCGTATCTGAATTGATATTGGCTATGGTATTCATGTGAACCTTGAGTTCCTGATTGAGCTGTATCTTGGAAGACAGACACCTGAGAATACAGACTGAGTCGCATCTGGATTGATATTGAATATGGTGTTGTTGGTGTGAACCTTGAGTTCCTAGATTGAGATGAACCTGGATTGAGACGTGTTTTAAAGCGTTTTAGGAGTAGGACTCACTACATGACAGGTTTGTTTGTTAGTTAAATCGCAAGATTAGAATAATTCTCTAAATTTCAGCGGTTTCTCTCCTCCCCTCCCATAACACTTTGCCAACGTTATTTGCAATAACAGTTTGGAGTCGAGAGGTTCAAATTAACCAATATCTTCTCTCCCCCCTTTTAAAATTTTGCAAAAATCTTTGCATATTTAAAATGGCATGGTAATTTTTTTTTGCAAAATTTTTAATTTATAACTGGATTTTGCCAAAAAAAAAGAAAGAAATTTTGCAAATGACTGTCGGGACAATTACGAAAAGGCCAGTCAAACTAATTGATCTGACAGAATTTACAGTTTAAAATATCAGAAGTCATTGACATCAGGTTGAAAAGATATATTGATTAAAAATCAGAGTTTGTGCCAAAAACCCAGTTCTATAGTTGAGTCGGAAGAAATGTTACAAGGTTTATATTATATCATTTAAAAAAATCACAGTTTACTATTCCTCCCTTTGATACAAGAAACCACTATAGTCCCCTGCAGGTTGACTGAGAAAGATCTATATTGTTGAATTATTTCCTCAACTTCCTGAAATTGCCTGATACTATCCTGTAACTACTAAACTAGAGAATAAAAATAAAATTAAAATCTAATCAACTGTTCAGAATAATAACTATAAACAGACCAAGATTACTTATTCAAATATATACTTTGCTTGTCTGTCAAAACGGCTAAACTGATCGGGTCCAAATTTTGTTTTTGCTTTATATTGTACAAAGAGAAGATGCTTACCGATAAAGCTAATTTAAAGAAGATGGGAGCGCCCTAATAGACTAGCATTCAAATATTCAAGTAGGAAACGGATTGTAATATCATAAAGGGTGAAATTTAAACGACGACATAAATTTCCTTAAATATAACGATCAGACGGGTAAATATGTGTTATGCCTTGGTGTGTATATATGTGTCTAATGAAAGTTATGGTTACAGGGAACACACATTGTAAAAACCCAGAATAAATTCCGAACCAATGTTTCTAAATTCTCCTGATGTAACTAATTGTTTCATCCTGTGTCTTTTTTTTAAAACTTCTGTCTTTATGTTACAAACATTTTTAAATCATGGATTAATTTTCTTGATTAACTGGTAGATTATGATTTTACTGTAAAATCTATAGAATATGGAGGAAAACTCACATTTTCTCATAACATTTTAGCAAAGTTTTCGAGAAGCTAAACTTTAAATTTTTCTAAACCTGGATTCTAAACATTAACAAACTTTCAAACTAAACCTACCAAAAATCTTATAACATATGGCACGGTTACCAAGATAGAAAGATAAATATTTTGACATCTGTAATTTTAAAAAAATTTTATGTTCTGCGTGATGCATTGAAAAATATTTTATAAACTTCTATTTGAATTGTGAACATTTTCTCTGTGTTTACATTGTAACACAATAACAAAAAAGTTCGCGGATTTTATTAAATAAATCGTGGATTTTAAAAATTCAATGAAAATAGAATTTTCTTGGCGGCTAATTTTTTTATTTTGATCATTAATAAATCTTCTCTCGGGTCATATAATGTCCCACACAAAATTTGGGAATGGTCGGTTCAGTCGTTTTCACGTTTATTTGATACAAACAAACAAACAGACGCCCAGCTAGACAAGAAAAGTATATAGAGATAGATCATGAGTGAACCGATATATAAAGAAAACTTCGGATCCATCTTGTCCTAACCTAACAAGAGGAAACTACGGACCCAACCCGGCCTAACCTAATAAGAGGAAACTACGGACCCAACTAGTCCTATTCTAACAAGAGGAAACTACTGATCCGACTTGTCCTAACCTAACAAGAGGAAACTACGGATCCAACCCGTCCTAACCTAACAAGAGGAAACTACGAATCCAACCCGCTCTTACATAGCAAAGGAGACTATAACGGATCCAACCCGTCCTAACCTAACAAGAGGAAACTTCGAATCAAACCCGTCCTATACATAACAAAGGAAACTACGGACACAACCCGGCCTAACCTAACAAGAGGAAACTATAAGGATCCAACCCGTCCTAACCTAACAAGAGGAAACTACGGATCCAACCCGTCCTAACCTAACAAGAGGAAACTACGGATCCAACCCGTCCTAACCTAACAAGAGGAAACTATAAGGATCCAACCCGTCCTAACCTAACAAGAGGAAACTATAAGGATCCAATCCGTCCTAACCTAACAAGAGGAAACTACGTTGCAAGAACTTCATTCTTTCGGGTTGTATTAGTAAAGTAAAAAAAAAAACAGTAAATATTTTTGAAATTTCTTTAATAATTAAAAAAAAAAGATAAGTATAGATACATTTTTTTCGTTAATTTGATCTTTTAAGAAATAAGATTATTTATATTTTACTTCCCCCCCCCCCCCCCTTCCTCTTTTATTCACTCTCCGCCTAACTCAGTTATTAACTCCTTTTTCTAAAATATAATACGCGCATGTAGATTCATAGCTAATTAGGAGATACGCATTTATTCAAGACAAGTATCATCACGAACCGCCCTTTTGCGTAGTAAAACTAATGCGTATAATTTATTGATATTTTGACCGACAATGATTAGAACACACAGTTCAATCATTTATATTCGAAGTTATCAGACTTTTATCAAATTATTTAACAGGTAACAGATTTGTTGCCACAATATACAATTTTCCAACCCTTATATCTTTGCAACATGACGGTATAGACTTTTAATAATTCAAAATTAGACTATTTGATCCCACATAATTCAAAGCTCGAAATATTAAAGGTTTACGACGTCGGGTTGGAAAGATATAGACAGTGGTTTATAAAGACCCAAGAAGAGGGGAATGGGGAGAAGGGTAGAAAAGGATGTCAGGGACGTGTAGGAGAAGGTAGGAAAGGAAGTCAGGGACGTGTAGGAGAAGGTAGGAAAGGAAGTCAGGGACGTGTAGGAGAAGGTAGGAAAGGAAGTAGGGAGACATGTAGGAGAAGGTAGGAAAGAAAAGGGAAGAGATGGGAAGGGTTAAGGTAGGGAATGCTAGGAAGGTGGGAAGATAAAGTATTGTGAAGAAAGGGAGAATATGCAGGGAATGGAAGAGATGGATCTTTTACCTTTACACATCCTACTTTCTCTAAAAAATCACGCAGTTTTTGCAAACATCAGTCACATTATAATCCAATAGATATAACGCGGCGTACAAAAATGTACTTAAAATTTTTCACTCTCCGCGCACGTCTTCATATAGATATTTTTAAAAGAATAATCAGTTATTTTCCCCATTAGTTATGAAGCAGCAAAAAAGCCACTAAAAATAAGTTCGAAAAATTAAACCTAGTGTTTTATTTTCTGACGAAGGACAAGCTTTAAAAAACGAATATGAAAATATTATTTAGAAAACATTACTGAAACTTAAGTTTGCTGTAAAAGGATGATTATTGGAATGAAATAAAAGGGGTTTTTATCCTGATCAAACTCTAAATTTGTTGATGATTAAGATAACATTTTAGGACTTTACTGTACTAAACTGTACACTGTACAGTACAAGCATGTACAAGATGGGAAATACTGTAGCAGTACATCCACCCAATTCAAGAAATTCATTAAATACAAATCCAGCCAACCCAACCAATCAATCTGATCAATTTGATCAATCGGAGGATAAATTTGGTCACATGTTTGAAGAATACGATCAATCTGATGAATATGAAAATTCACACCAATTCGATCATTCCGATGAATTAGCTCGATCCATGGATTCGATCCAATCAGACAAATCAATCTTGTCTGATCACTCGATCCAGTCCAGTGAATCGAATGAGTCCAACCTACTACCTGACCAACTATCCCTTCTCCTCTCACTACCCTGCCCTCCACCCTGTCCTAATCATGAAGAAGTAATGTCGTCTTCCAACCTGAAATCAAGCCTATGCTCTTCACTCCGTCCTACTCGTTCCCTGCACACGGAGAGTATTCTCCGTCCTAACCTTAGTACAGAGTGGAACCTGGAGAACATACCAGATCTACCTTTTAGATGCTTGCTCAAGGTTAGGCTTTGATATAAAACAAGGGAAGAGTTTTTGTGTTTGAAAAAGATGTTCCGAAAATATGGGGGGGGGGGGGTCGAATAACCATCTAAATGTTCTTTTACGTATATGTTGTGTTGTTTAGGTATATCTTTTATTTTGTCAACAAATCCCATTGTGAATCGAATCTAGCAATTATTATGAAAGCTTGATATAAAGATATTTATGAATTATATTCAAACAATTTTAAATTTTTTAACTTTCTAGCGCATTTATCATATTTCCAAACTGAATTTGAAATATTCAAAACTGTAAAGTTTAAACCTTTATTAAAATTTCAATTTAGAAGAATATTGCTCTTAAAGGATATTGCAGATTCCACAGTATAACGGGCGCTCAAATAAACTTTAAATATGTTAAGCTATTAAACATTTTCAGTTCAAGCAGAATGCATTTAAATAACCAGAAAAAAATGAGTTAAAACTTATTATATTCTTTTTAAGTCCGTTACACAACGATACTCCTAAAAACTGAAGAACGTAGCGTCCTTACAAATTCAGAGAGTTGCAATATATGACTCGAATCATAAAATAATCAATTTAATTTCAAACAAATCATTCAGTAATTACAACCTACAGTCATTGATTATTTTTCGATTCATTCATATTTAGTTAATGTTTCATAATATTCGTTATTTGTTTTATATAAAATACACTTAAAACAAGTATTTTTCCGCTAGGTGTCTCTGCCACGTGTAATCATTCAAAGCATCGAGAGCTGAGACATCTGGCGGCCAACTATTTCGGCTTTTTAAGTGCATTGTGTACAAAACGAATATTAAGTATGAATTATATACGAATTCCTCGAAAAATAGAAATAATAACTATAGGTTGTAATATCTGAATGATTTGTTTGAAATTTAATTGATGTTTTTACGATCCGAGTCTTATATTGCAACTTTCTGAATTTGTATGGATGCTACGTTCTGTAGTATAAGTCGTTTTTAACAATTTTCTCCTTATAGACGCAACAGACAGACGTAAGATTAGTAGCGATCAAAAGCGATTTTTTTTCGTCATAAACCTATACCCCCTTTCATTTTTTCGCGAACAATCCCTTTAAGGTACCGTTGTGAATCTGACATGCCCCTCATTTAAATGGAAGGTCACTAAACATTGTAGCCACAGCCCTTTATTAACTGATCACTTTGCTAATTCTTGTTTTGGTTTCTAGAAACTAGGACGGAGAGATAAGATGACCCTGAGACAGGTTTCCGTCCTGCTCTGGGTCCGGGTTGACCAGCACGATAGTTCTGTCAAGGGCTGGAGTTTCCGTCAGCTTAGTTCAGATAATCTAAACCTTTTCTCTGCACAGGTTCAAATAGTAAAAGGTAATTTACATAATATAATGTTTAAATTCTGTATTCTTATGTTGATTTTCATCCCCCCCCCTTCCCCCTTTTTTTAAATTTGATAAATGTCTATTTCGAAATTAACGTTTAAGTCGCGTTGACATTGGAATTCAATGATATATGATAAGTCTGTGACAAAGGATTGAAGATGAATAAGAAGGATTATTTATATATATATTGTGGGATTAAGTATCCCGTATCTGAGAAGAAGGATTGAAGATGATAATGAAGGATTATATATTTATATATTGTTAACTATAAAGCAATAATCAGAGCAGCTTCTTAGTTTTCATATTTATTAATACAAATTGTTTCAGATCTCTCGATCCTCAGCAGTCAATAAACATTGTTAAACTTTATATACATGTATTGTAGGATTAAGTATCCGCTATCTCCGAAGAAAGATTGAAGATAATTATGATACTGCTTTGAGGAACCTAGCTCAGCAACATCCTGAACTAGAATCAATCAGGAATATTGAAAAATAATCTCAGTTCTCATTAGATCCTGTCTTTAGATTCTATTAAAGTTTTCGCTAGGTTTAAAAATTATAAACATTTATTCTTAATTCATTCGTGATCAGACAAAGCTTTTAAGGGTGCCGTTATGAATCAGGCATTGTCATATTTGCATCGAAGGAGACATTAAGTTACGCTTACATTCTCTTTAAACTTTATACTGTTGAATGTTTTTAAATATATCTTTGCCAGGATTTGGAATTGTGGAAGTAGCTCTAGGTTCAGAAAGAGAAGGAAGGATTGTGTTACAGATAAAGGACTCCAGGTTCTCCTAGAGATGCAGAACCTCAAGAGAATTGAACTCAACTCAAGCTGTGTTCAAGGAATAGCAATAGGACCAGCTCCGGGTACAAGGATAGATACTGGACTCGGAAGAGATCCAGGTCAAGCTCCAGGTACAAAACTAGCATCCTCTCTACAGGTTCTCAAACTAGTTTCATCCTGTGAGAGGTTACAAGACCCTGGTCTCTGCAATATTCTCAGGGTTTGTGGAAGGAATCTCAGGTTCTTAGATCTAGGAGAATCAAGTATCTCCGGATTAGAGATACTAAATCTGGAGAAGGGAATCCTTCTACCTTTGATAGAAACCCTAAACCTGGAGTACTGTACTAATATCTCAGATAAAGGACTGTGTGCGATACTCAGGTAAGACGACATTTAAATCATTTTTCTTGTTTATCAATTAAATATTGCTCTAAACTAAATTCAGTTTCCATAATTGTTGTATTCGAGCCTAGGTGAAGTTTTCATATCCATTCATTATCATGATTAGTTTTCTGATTTAGTGTGTGTGGTCCAAACCTGAGCAATCTTCTTATCAGTGAAACTGATATAACCGGAGAAGAGTTCGATGAGATGGACCGAACCCTGGAGAGTTTACAGCTCCTGGTTCTGGATTGTTGTTTCGCTCTGACAGACGTGGGACTAATGTGCATTCTCCGTAAGTGTGGAAGGAACCTGAAAACCTTGTATCTGAGGGGAACCCTATTCCCTGGATTCAATTTTGACTCCGGTCCAGCTCCAACTATAGGAGTAGACTCACTCAACCTAAACTACAATCAGCGGCTACAGGATAAGGGTTTGAACTGTTTGTTTAAAACCTGTGCTCCAACCCTGCGAATCCTAAGCCTGGGATTGACTAGGATCTCTGGTGAACTGGAAAAATCTTTTTTCCTCCCTCGTCTTGAGGTTCTAAACCTACCCCTGTGTAAGGGGCTCACGGAGAGAGGTTTGTCCCATATCATCTCCATGTGTGGAAATGGTCTGAGGACTATTGATCTCCGGAATACAACGATAACAGGTGCGAACCTCATATATTTAGCGGGGAGCTTCTCAGGGGTTGCAACCTTACAGCTCTTGAACTGTAAACATCTCACAGATTCAGGATTGGTTCAATTTCTCCGACTGTGCGGAGCAAACCTGCGAAGATTGGATCTGGGTGGAACAAATATTTCTGGTGAGGAGGTTTCTCATTTCTCTGGATTCCTGGACAATCTAGAGTCATTAAACCTATTCAATTGTAAACTATTGTCGGATCAAGGTTTAGGTCAGCTTCTGCGTATCTCCGGGAGAAGGTTGGAACTGCTCAATGTCGGAGGCACCAATATTACCGGAGAAAATGTCTCCAGATTGACCCGTTCTCTACCAGAGCTGAGCAAACTTTACCTGGACAGATGCAGGAATATCACGGAACAAGGATTGTGCGACCTGATCCAGGTTTGCGGAGACAAGATTAGGTTGATTGATCTAGAGAAGACGGATATCTCCGGAGAAGGACTGATTGAGATCACCAAAAAGTTTTTCGAGATGGATATTTTAAACCTGAACTCATGTCGGAATCTAACAGATTGTGGACTCAAAGAGATCCTGAGAATATTCGGGTTCAACCTTTCTGTTTTGAGTCTAGGGGAGACGGGGATACTTGGAGACGGTTTAGATTCATCCAATATTCTGGATAGAGTTGAACATCTTATACTCTTCGGGTGTAAAGAGCTTACAGATACAGGACTATGCATAATCCTCAAGATATGTGGATCCAGTCTGAAAGAACTAGATCTCAGTAGAACTCTTGTATCAGGTTCAGGACCAGATAAAATCTGTACCCTGAGTAATCTACAGGTTTTAAATCTACTCCACTGCCAGGATTTAACAGATCAAGGATTTCAAGAGTTTATATCAAGCGCCAAGAGAACTCTGAAAACCCTGATCATAGGCAGGACAAATATTTCAGGACGGATATTGCTCCAGGTGGTGACTGAACTACAAATCCTGGAACGACTGGATCCCTTCAACTGTCCGAACATAACAGGGAAGGATTTACGGAGGTTAAAGTCTGAACGAAGCAATCTCAAGATATTTAGGTTTAAACAATCCAACTCGTTGAACCAGAATCAAACCTGAAATAAACAATATTACTTGACAATTACAATATTAATCAAATCTTTAGAATACAGGGTTATCTACAAAGAATGAGAAGACTTCAGAGATGATTGTATAGAATTTTAACTATCTGTTTCCTTTTATTTATGATTCCTTGAAACTGTAAACTAGTTTCTTTTTTTGCCTAATCATTGAAACAGCAATAAAAGATTATATTCAAGGCAGAAGGCTTAATTTAACCTCGGAATTGTCAAGTTTAAAGAGTTTCAGGTCGTCCAAATAGTCTTATTCTTTGTGGGTAACACTGTAGAATCTAACCTGGATCTGAAACTTTAGAATGAGATATCCTTAATCCCGATTGCTTAATCTGAGTATCCAATGGACACACTTTTGATTTTCTTCTTAAACCGTTCTTTTTTTAATATAGTGGAGAAAAATCAAAAACCTGTTTTTAAAATTAGAGAGTTCCTCCCGTTTCTGTATATTAATCTTAAATTGCGCGCAAAATTTCAAATTTATCGGCTTCATATACGCGACTCTGATTGGTTGAATTTTATACACTTTTTAGAAAACAAGTACAAGATTAGGTTAGTCTCGATATTAACCCTATTCCTGCGGGGGGGGGGAGGAAGAAGACCCCCCCTGTAGTTGTTTTTTTTACATAGCTAAAAAAATATTGGTCTGAGACATTTTCTGACTTTTCTTACATACCCAAAGCCCTCCCTTTAGGCCTAAAACCGGGCTTTAATACTAACTGCCTGAGTCCTCAGGCACACTGCCTGAATGACTGCTTTTGCCTGTAACAAACTAAATCTTTGTTTTGACCCACTTTCACTTGTCAAATTTTGATAAAATTTAGCTTTTTGGAAAGCCTATGACATAAGGAAACGGATTGCACAAGTTTTGCGAGAAAAAAATTGCAAATTTTTTGCAAACAACCTGTCAAAGGAAATTTGCACTTTTTTAGTTTTTCTTGATTAAAAATCAGGTTTTTTAAAATTTTGCAAAAATGTTTGCATATTTGAAATGGCATGGTCAAGGGCTTTTCAAAAATGTATAATTTTTCATTTTTGGACAAATTTATATTTGCAAACATTTTTACTATCAAACTGGATTTTGCGATAAAAAATTCAATTTTCGCAAATTTGCAATTTTTTTGCATCAATTGTATCATTTGTCATATTTGGACATAAAACATGGGATTTAGAGGGGGGGTCAAATTACCCCCCCCCCAGCGTATCCTGGTTTTCAAGTACCCCAGCAGGGATAGGGTTAAGAAAAAGAGAGGATCAAGCATTAATCTCGATATCCACCATTCTAAAGTTTTCAGCTCTGTTGAAATACAACAAAACCTATATAAAGAACCACTTTATGTTTTCTGATTTTTATAATAATAAATATTTGTATATCGTAACAAAGAAGAAAAGTATTTAAATAAATTTTCATTTTGATATGCATAATCATAATTTTAGTTAAAGTTTCTACTCTAGCAGAAGTTTAGAAATAGTTTTAATATAAAAGTTCTATAGTCTCAAGACTATACCTCCCCCCCCCCCCCCCCCTAGACGTATCTTTTTAGATTAGAAACCTTTAGAATAGTATAATTTTTCATTACCGAATTAATATTAAGTGTTCAAAAAAATTTAAATGCAGGCTAGACTGTCAAAGTTGCCTGCTCATACTTTAATATTACTTTAACTTCACAGATATCTAGAAATTTAAGACAACTATAAAAGTTTTTCATTAGATTTTAAAAACGCGTCGACTTTGAAGTGTTGCAAGAACTTGCGTTTTGTTTTTACATCCTCAACTCGCTTTAACTTTTTTTGGAGCCTTAGTCATGTACATTTCAATACTGCTATTTGAATGTTTCTATTAGATTCAATTCAAAAGAAGTATTTGCCAAAATTTGTTATATTTTTGCCTAAGAGCTTGTTTTTTGGGGGTTGAAGTGATTTCGAGCTTACACTGTTGTCAAATAAATATTTTTTGGGATGTTGACTATATTTTTATTTATTTTTATTTAGTTTTTATTTTCAAACACAAAATACAAAATAATAATGTATGATGATTAAGCTTAAAATAAAACACAAAAGAAAATTTATTATGAGCCAATTGAAAATATAATGTTTGATAATTTTGTTTGATCGTTTTTGTTGAAACAAAGTATGCATATTGAAATCTCAACTAAATATACTTTCATTGAACTTATAAATACATATTGATTCAGCAAAAGTAACAATGTATTCTCGTTAACTGTAGTAGACTTTGACATCTACCATTAGCAAAGGGTGTGAACCCATTCTTAATGACTGAAGTAGATTTTGACATCTACTATTAGCAAAGGTTGTGAACCCATACTCATTGACTGTAGTAGACTTTGACATCTACCATAAGCAAAGGGTGTGAACCCATTTTTGTTGACTGTAGTAGACTTTGACATCCATCATTAGCAAAGGGTGTGAACCATAGATAAAGATAGATTGCGCATAAGACGACATTTTTCATCTTGACAGATATAAATGTACAGAGATGTTTTAAAGATATTCCTATTATATAGATTAACTAGGTCGGTTGTGAACATTGGCTGTTCTTATGTCATTGAGTACTTGTGGTGTATAGTATATAGCATCAAGAAGGTATATTTATTCCTACTTCGGTCAAAATTCCGCGCTTGATTTCTGAAAGTTTTATTAGTTTAATCATTCTTTACAGCTTCCGGAAAGGTTCTGTAAGGATTTTAAGGATCCAAATTGAGCTGGAAAAAATGGAAACCCATACTAAACTCTCCCAAAGTGAATTTGTATAAATTCTAAAACAAGGTTTTCATAAGTTTTAGAGAAGATTTGTACTGAAAGTTTTCGTGGATTTTTTGTGATGACTCTTTTATTATTTTTATATATAACGATATATATATAGATATATATAGATATAGATATAGATATAGATATAGATATAGATATAGATATAGATATAGATATAGATACAGATATAGATATTTCACTGATTACATTTTATTTCAATATTTGTCCACCTTCAACATCTTTAAGGTTTTGACTTTCATTTACAAATTCACAAAAAGAAAAAGAAAATAACAGATTTCTAGAAAAGAAAGAAAAAAGATTTAAGATTGTTTTCCAGCCAAAGAGTTTATCATTTTCATGAGAACTCATATCAATAGTATGCAACTGTAGTGAAGAAATAAAATATCTATCTATCTATATTTCTATCTATCTATCTATCTATCTATCTATCTTTGTATCTGATAAACATGTATTCCTGAATCTTGTTAGAATTAGTTTTTGATTAGATTCATGTGCTCCAGAAGAAGTAGTAGAGATAGATAGATAGATAGATAGATAGATATTTAATGTATAGATAAATAGATAGATAGATATATATATAGATATTCAGATAGATAGATAAATAGATAGATAGATAGATATATATATATATATATATTTAGATAGATAGATAAATAGATAGATAGATAGATAGATAGATAGATAGATAGATAGATAGATAGATAGATAGAAAGACAGATAGATAGATAGATAGATAGATAGATAGATAGATAGATAGATAGATAGATAGATAGATAGATAGACAGGTATATAGATGGTTAGACAGTTGGATAGATAGACAGATAGATAGGTAGATAGATGGTTAGATAGTTGTATAGATAGACAGAGAGATAGGTAGATAGATGGCTAGATAGTTGTATAGATAGACAGATAGATAGATAGATAGATAGATAAATAGACAGATAGATAGGCTTTTTGAATAAATTCATGAATTATTTTGTCTTAATTTGTTGTTTTCATGTTTAGCAGCCTTGAGTATAATCAATTTTGGTACCTTCCATCATTGCCCAAATATCTGAACAATCCAATTCATACTTTTGATAAAAGTAGTGGGGGCGGGGGAGCGTACTAAATTCCCAGTGATGATGACATGAGTACTACATTTATAATGATGATTGACATAAAATCACTCGAAATATGCAGATATTTAACATTTTTATTTTTACTTATTTTTTACTTAAGTTATTTAAAAATAAATCGGTAAACTGGGACAAATTCCATTTTAGATTATAAATCGTGTGTATTTAATTAAATGCACTGGGTTTAACGACTAAAACCTTGATTTGAACAAAAATATAATTACTATATTCCTATTTTTACAAAAAAATATAATCTTTTATGACCAAAATTATATGAGCTTTTTTATACAAATATTACTGTATTAAAATAATATTGTGATTTATTTTCTCATGTTTTATGTATATTTATAGATTGTAAGATTTGAAAGTTTATGCACACTGCACAGTGCGCAGGTAGAAATGCACAGATAGTTAGGCCAGTAGGAGTTAAAAAGTTAGAATGGAAACATCAGGCATTTTATTTGGATTTAAAGAGAAGTTAATCAAAGTAAACATTCAAAGAAAATTGATTAGGATGTTTATTTGTTTATCCAAAATGAAAGGGAATTTAGGACTGAAGAGAATGGATAGGAAAGAATAAAAAGATAGAATTTGTCCAACTGATGTAAGTAAATTTCTAAAAATAATAAGAAGATAATAGTTTATTTCAAAATATATATTGAATATAGATTATCCTTAACAAATGTATGTATATATGATACTTTTGTAAATATTGTTTTTTTTTTCAGTTGAACCTCATGATTAAGAAAATAAAGAAGAATTAAAAGAAGAATAAATATTTCTTACGAATAGTTCTAAATCATTCAAATTAAAAGAAGAAATCCTATTCCTTCACAATTACCTTTTATCATCTATTCTATGACGATTAAAGTTGGTTTCAGAAAATTATTCAACAATTGTATTTTTTCTTCTGGTCTTGTTAAAAAATTGAAAATAGTTCTTAAAATCGACTTTAGCTTTTGATACAGGAAGCGATCTCAAGATCTGATATATGCCCAAACCGGATACACAGTGTTAAGAATGGTCCATTAACTTGGTTTGGAACTAATGTCCCCACCCCCTGCATTCCGATTAATTT